AGTAAAGCTTGCTCTATCTATCTATCTATCTATCTATCTATCTATCTATCTATCTATCTATCTATCTATCTATCTATCTATCTATCTATCTATCTATCTATCTATCTATCTATCTATCTATCTATCTATCTATCTATCTATCCATCCATCCATCCATCCATCCATCCATCCATCCATCCATCCATCCATCCATCCATCCATCCACAAAACTTTCAAACAAGCCAAGGCTATCAAACCAAAATTCCAAGTTTCGTCTTGGCTTTTCAAGTAAAAAAATCAGTTATGTGAATTTGTTTTGTTTTTTCAGTCAAAAAAATAATTCAAATTGCTATTATGGATCTTGTTTGCTACCTCAATGAAAATTTTAATTTATTGCATCAAGTCCAGACTGGATCTGTTCTCTTAATTATTTTTAAATGTTTAGCCTTATACTGCTTTGCACCACGTTCGAAAAAAAGAGGCAGAAGTCAAAATTGTTTTTAGAATGATGCAAAAAGTATCTGCTCTCCGAGAGTTTCATTTAACAGGACTTGAAGGAAACAGCTGGAGAAGTACGAGAGAAAAGGAAAGGGGAGACAGGCAGGAAAGGATTTGAAAAGGCTTCACAGGTGAGGTGGGCTGAGGGACACCCTGTCTGTTTGGTCTCTCGTAGAAGAAGAAGGGCATGTTTATGCAGACGGAATCTCTCTCACATGACTCCCTCTGGCTTCAGCACTCAACATCACTCCACATGCCTCAGAATCAGGTAGTGTGACCACAGAATTGGCCCAGAGGCACAGCTTTCATGAGAGAGGGTTACAAAAGTGAAGCGCACGCCATGGAGAGAAATCAGAGACTCTTGGATTTGGCATCAAGGTCGCTCCGACAAACACATTCCAGTCTGAGACGGACATGTGACCCGAATCGGGTTGCTCTCGTCCCAACAACAAACAGTTTCACCATCTATCAAGGCAGGTAACCGTGACGCAGTTTGATTGTACAGGCTTGCGGTTTGCGGTGGGGAAGCCAAATTCCAGGCTCTAGTACCTCTCCCTCCGCAAGATCACTTTTCAAACCATGATCAAATTATTGTGAAGAACAAAGCGGTGGGCTTGTATCTTTTGTAGTAAAGCTTTTCCTGTGAATGAGGCCAGACAAAGCGTTCGAATGGAGAAAGCATTTCAAAACAGCGTTGCGGGGGAGAACTCTGTTAACGTATAAGATTTCTTTCTTCCGACGAAAATAACATTAGCTGTTTATATAAAATATCAAATGTGAGAAACTCATTGAAATCCTGGAATTCTTGTGAGAAGAATCATATTTTATGAAACGCACTAACACACACAAAATAAGACTAAGCTAATTTAATCTAATTTACATTTAAATGAATCCTTTTTGTGGCCAATTATTCACATAATCTAGGAGTCTTACAACTCCACAGGAGGCCGAAATGCTTCATACTCAGTTGGTTCAAAGCCTCTAAATAAATTGGCTGCAAGAAACCAATAGCCGCTTCCATCGCATGTTCTGTGTTGTAATCCTAGTTTAGTCAACTCAATTGGAGTTGATGTGACAATTGTCCGAACATATGTTTCTAATTTAAATCTGGTGTGTTTAATACATATTCTTAATGATGAAATTGGCAGAAATTGGTCATTGGACTCACTCTCTCATACATTCAATCTGCACCCATTCATTCCTAATCCACCCATGTCTATTCAACACCGCGATCCATTTCATGACTGGACGGGGGGGTTGGGGGGGGGGGAATGGGACGACACGCAGAGGGAGAAGACGGCGTGAGACCAATGCATCGGACATAATCACCTGCAAGCAAAGTGTCTGCCTAATTCCCACCATCTGGACCGGCGGGGTCAGACCTATGTCAGACCGCCCTGATGTCAAAAAGAGGTTCTCGTTTCAATTGTCCCGCCACTTGGAAACATTCCAGCGCTTGTGACTTCTCCACAATAAACCATGTAGATTTTTGCTCATCAAACTTGCTGTTTACGTATTGAAAGACAAAAAAGATTAGCAGCCAAAGGATAAGTCTCAGTGAAGGACACACTGACTCTCGGCCCATTCAGACGGCTGATTAGCATAGCACTCCTGCCGGATCAATAACCTCATTGACTCTGTCTGTCTCCTCTATCAGGAATGATGGTAGACTCTCTTTTGTAACTCTATTCTCGGGGCAACTGTCCATTCTCCATGAACTCTTGCTCTATTTTTCAAACGGGCCTCGATTTGTTTCCTTCTGTCTCGCTGTCTTTGAGAATGTGAGTAAATAAAGCTGTCTAGATGCCACTGAGAAAGATTAGCATGTAGCTTTTCGCTTTATCTGGTTCTGAATGCCTGGAAAAGAGAGAACAAAGGTGCCACCATCATTGCCAGAGTTTACTTTGCAAACGTCTTATCACTTCAAGAAAAATATGTCCAAGAAAAGGAGGTACTCAAGCTCCAATTTGCTCACAGCAAGCCCTTTCCCAAACTTAACAGGAATATGGAAAGTTGGACCACCACCACCAAAAAAAAATTTTTTTTTTTAAATCCTTCTTTCTAATTTGGAGACAAAACAATGAAGCGAAGAGAGTTTAAGAAGACCAGAAATATGAAGTGAACCACTGATGGCCTGAACTTTTTTTCCCCATTCATCATAAAAAGACTTAAGTTAAAATATTCGATCAAAATGGGGGGATTGACCAGTGACCTGATCCCAGGAGCGGTTCTGGGGGTTAATGGGGGATAAAGATTAAGGAGGAACTGGGCTTCGCTTCATCTCCGTCCCCAACCACCTTCCCTTTCCAATCCCAAATCAGCCACACAATGAGACCTGCCAATGGAGACAGAGCTCAGTTTCCTTTGATATCCTTCCGAGCTTTCGGCTCTGAGTGTCCAGAGAAAAGCTCCATGGAGGTTGCTCTCAACTCCGGGGAGTGGAAGAGCTCTCTCTGAGCCATTTTAGATGGAAATGACAGGCACTCTACTAGAACAAGAAATCAATTTTCAAAGCGAAGAACGCACTAGGTCGTCCATCCGAAGAGTGAGCAACGCCATCCCTCGTCTTTAAACTCGGGTGAGATATGCTTAATTGCTGTAGATTTTATAATGTGTGCATTGGCGGTGTGAAGTTGGGCGGCAATTATACTTTCTCTTTTTTTACGCACTGATCAGAGGACTTCTGTTCCAGAACAGATATGCTTTAAGAGTTCATCTTTGAAGATTTAAGTGGATACTCGTCAAATTAAAAACTAACATTCAAATCTCTTTAAGGTGGGGAGAGAGGAGCTGGGTTTTGCTTAGCCTTGTGATGCAGTGACTTCTGGGGATTTCAGCCCCTGCCTTAAGCCAAGCTGCTCCCAACCTCTTCAGCATATGCAAACTTTAATCAGTCCCGCACCTCAAAGGCAGAGTAATGGCTTGGCATAGCCTCACTGATGGATGCTTCTCTACAGAGTTGAGTTTGAATGCTGGACTCTGCTGAGTTTAGCAATTCAGCAGCAAAGTGTGGGCTGTTATTGCTTGCTCAGTGTGATACTTTCTTAACTTGATATATTAATGCAAGAGTATTGACAGAATCCCACATCAACCATACATAAGATGCTTACCCAAAAATGTTTCTTCATATTAAAGCATAATATATATATTTTTTTCTCAATCATGATCTGTAGACTAATTATTATTAAAAAATAAAATTGTCATCATTTACTCACCCTCAAGTCGTTCCAAACTTTTCTATATAATAAAAGTGAATGGGGATACATCATTAAATTTTCATGGGAGCAGTCAAAAAAAATTAACTGTTATTCGCTTAAAATCATCTTCTATTCCTTCGGCTCTCATTCCCACTTCTACAGTACATATTGAAACAAAGTTATTTTGATTAAACCTTACATGTTGCATCTTAAGGCACTATTTTAAACAGGAAATGACTAAAATGTTGACCTTTTTGTTGCAGAAAGCTATCGGAATTTCAGTCTTCTTGGAATATGGCACATATGACTACTTTTATAATACTTTTAGTGCTTTTTGGTCCTCAACAGCCCATATATTAGCTTTCATGAGTGGCAAGTACAATCTTTTTGTGTTACATGGAAAAAAGAAAGTCATACGGGTTTGGGACTGCATGAGGTTGAGTAAATGATTAATTAAAATAAAACAAAATCAAGCTTGATATTTTTTGTAAACCATCCCATTAGAGCAAAAATTATAAGTACAACTGCTAATATCAGGTCCCTAAAAAATATCAACAAATCTCGGTTACACTTTATTTTAAGGTGTCCGTGTCACAGTGACATTATACATTTAATGACTGAGTAAGAATAATGAACTACGTGTACTTACTATAGGGTTAGGATTAGGTTTTGGTTTAAGGTTAGTTGCATGTAATTATGCCTAATTTATAGTTACTTCTACAGTAATTACATGTAACGTTTAACAAGGACTCTGTAAAATAAAATGTTACCCAAATCTCTTGCTCAAATCATCAAACATGATGAACTAAACTCTGCATGAACTTGAATAGGTGCAAGTTTTTCTAATTTACCCTTCGCAACTGTAGCCGCTCGTCTGGCAATGTCTACATCGCTAATGACGACGACCACAACCTCCGTCACATAATCAGCACTCACATTCTCACAGATGGTGAGATTCTTTATGCGTATTTTTCACTTACTTGGTGACAAAACCATCATCAGAGCTTCAAGGGAGGGCCGGAGGGAGCCGGACAACATGCTTCAAACCTTTACCTGCTGTTTATACACCACAATTGATTTATCTTGACTTCAACTGCCTTTAACATGAAACCCCACAACCGTCAAGAAACTAAGTGGACTCTCTCAACTATCATGATGCATCAAGAATCTTTAAGAGATCCCCGGACTCCTCATTATTAACGCTCCTCTCAGGATGTGGTTGATGGAATATATAATGGAAGTGATTTTTGAGAGGACATATCAATTATGGCTGAGACAGACAGACCGAACATGCAAATTAGCCTTTTAAAGATTGCTTTTACTCACCACTTTCGCCTTGGTTTTCAGAGTACTCCGGCTGCGCTATGAGCAACGGCCATACCAAGTCTCATCCTGACCGACACAGAATAGGAAACATGTAAACATACATATATTTTTCCTAGAAGCGTGTATTTTTTTAAATATTACCTTTTTTGAATGCTATAAAAGGTGGCAAAACCACAACAAATGACAGTGTAAGCATGTTGTCAGTGATATTTAGGATAATTGCAATGACAGTTTGGACAGTTTGTACTGTTTGTGTCATGCGAGAGTTTTTCATCTCCACAGCAAAATAATTACAACAAAGTCTGTCACAGTCCATCAATACGACAGGTCAATCAAATAACTGGATGTGGGCTCGTTTCACGTCAACGTGCCGCAGTTGCGTACGAACATGCACTCGTTTTTATCTCGATTTCAAAGAGTGCATCTGCCAAAAGATGAACGTGTTGACAGAAGTACAAGAGAAGCTGTGTTTTTCGATCTTACCCTGAGGGGAAACTTTCAGTTGATGTCCGTGTTTGTTTGGAAGAGGAGAGTCCAAGTATGAGAGAATCTGTCAAAAAACAACAAAAGAAAAGGTATTACTAGGTACATTTTTCAATTGTAAATTTTCGAGAGCACTTCGATACCTTCATCTGCATTTCAGACTGACGCGTATCACACTCAGAATAATAATATCAGAAATGAGGGGAAATGTTTTGCCCTCGAAACAGCTTGCCATGCCTGGCAGGTTAAAACTAACCGAGCATAAATCAAACTTTCCATCGAGGCTTCTGCCGCTTTTTTTGCTGACACTCACAGATATGTTCGACTAAATGAGCGTGTGCAGCTCAGTTCACCTCATTTAAAACAAAAACAAAAAAACTGCAAGTTGTAACATATTTCTCTTTTTTTGAAGAGTACAGTTCACTTGTGAAGCTACAGTATGATACACACACCCATTCAAATCAGCCGAATGGCTTCAGATTCGCTCTGTCCCAAAATTCCAAAGACCCCTGTAGGCAACTAACAACTTCAGGATCCCGTGGAATGTGCTCCCTGAACTGTATGAAAAGAGGAGGGGGTTTGCTTAGGAGAGCATTTCTGCAAACACAAACCCGCCGCTGCTTTAACCGCTTGTGTTTGAGGAGGTGTTACCAACTGAGATGGAGTGTTTGGAGGAAATAGCACAAAATGTCTATTAGCCCGAGTATTAAGATACACATCTTCTGCACTCAATTACATGTGCACGTATATGGTGTTCGTAATCCTAGAAGTACGCTTGGTTTACGAGCACAAGTAGTGTATATTTAAGCTCACTAGGCTCAGTCAACATTTGAATTAGAGATTTATTATCAAAATTAGATTTAAGACTGTTCTGTCAGTGCTTTTCGCATACGTGTAAATGTACACAAACTCTAGACTAGAAATGAAAAGCCATATAAAAAGCTCAGAATAATCATCCTGAAAAAGCGTTAATGTCCCGTATATTTCAAACTTTGTGTTAATAACACAATGTCTTTGGACTAGGGCTGCAAGATATAACGCGTTAGTATCGATAATATCATGATATGCGCATCAGTCGCATCGCAGGATGTACGATGTCAAGTATAGGGATCGTAGTTGATCCGTATGGACCAGGCACCACATTTCGAAATGCATGTGATTCTCAGATTAATTGCAAAGTTTAACCATCATAACCATCATAGAGCGAAAGCTTATCGCTTGCACATGTTTTAGCTACTGTCAGTCTAAACATTCAAGTGATTTTAAACATTAGAGCACAAGAGGACGCACAAAAGAGAACTCAGTTCGGACACCGAATTACATTCTCTTCCGCATCTATTTGTGCTTGAATGACACATACACGTATGCCTGTCTTGGTGAGTATCCTCAAAAACGCTTATGGCTTACGTGAACGTAAAGAAAACAGATGCATATCACTATATTGGATCTTTGCATTCGGTCTTAAAGTGACAGCAGCCTAATATTCCTGCTGCTCTCATTAATGTTAATCAAACAACAAAATACACAGAGAAAATCCCTTTTGTAGCTTTATCAATGATTAATTAGATTTAACTTATAAAGTGAAGACTATGCAGTGTTATTTTACATTTGATTATTTCATTTCTATAAAATACTGTTAGACTTTATTTCATTTATCTTTGTTGTATTGTATTTGCAATTTGTTTCTTATTTTCCATGCAGATTCACTTCCCTATAAAATCATCCGATCATTCTAGAACGATTTATTGTTTCCAAATAGAGCTATTCAAGTCATCTGGTGAAATTGTTTTCATATCGCAATATATATATATATATATATTGCGGCAAAACAAAATATCGCAATGCCAGTTTTTCCCAATATATTGTGCAGCCCTACTTTGGACTGATAAAAGTCACCTTTAACCATCGACTTACCGATGTTATTAGTTTGCATGACCTCATTGTGACAAGTTTCCACAATACCGGACCCGTTTCAATTCGAGATCTCTAAATACTTATACACACACACACACTGCATTAGCGCAGGTCGTCCTAATGTCACTGTCTGATATTTACATGAAGCCTGGCGTTCGAGTCGAGATAAACTATTTCAAATCAAGGCCAAGAATACCTCTCCGGCCCCTCTGCTGGGTGTGCGGATGAAAGAAGACATTATGCAAACAAGTCAGATTACAGTACACAATAAATTTTTACCTTTTCATGTAAATACCATTCCCGTGTTAGGAGGTGGAAGCCAACGCAATACATTTTGACTGAGGGCCGAACGGCCCTTATCAGCTCTAGTCAAGCAATTCAGGCCCCCCGAACAAAGATGAGTCTTCAAACTCCCTCCATTCATCAGTGGACGTGTAATTACCCCCGGTTCACAGTCTAGACGTTACTGCTTTCAGGGTATTTAAGATCCCCTTTGCAACATGCAGGATGCTTGCACCCGGCCCAACGTTAAATCTGCGGCAGATAAATTAGCAAAGAATGCAAGTTGAAAAAAAAGAAGCGCGGCCACAATGAAAAGAACTTTATCCTCCCTGCTGCTAAATGAGATTTCTTTGAAATGCAGATCAGTGGCGCTAGATTAGTGAATTTTAGCTGCTGTCAACATCATAACAAAATACAAATGCGATTGTTCGCCTAGGCCTTATCTCCTTGCTTCCATCTGCTTCTTCCCGTATTTACTCGGGTCGATTTACTATGCAGATCTAAATAAGACGCGCTCGCGGCACAATGGCTTCTTAAGCTTCTACATCAAGGTATTTGAGAGCGCCGTCACATGAAAAGCTGGCCCATCAAAGGCACATCCCTAATGAACTTCCCTATCACAGAGGGATGGCGCGGCTCTCCGGAGAGGCTCGTGGAGAGGCGCTAAATCACAGGAAGGATACCTCAGCGGCCCGTGGAGATTAACACACGACGGGGACCCTCAAACAGGAGGCCGTCCGAGCCAAAGCCAAGGTAGCTTGCGGTTCAACGGCAGATTAGCGGCCAAATTAAAACACCCAGGTAGGGGAAAAACAGCGTGCACTTCAAGGTAAGATGGACGTTTGTAACTAATACAACAAACGGTGAAGCATACAAGGCGGCGTTCACCACAACGATGACAGTAATCTTCAAAGCCGAGGAATAACCTCTAATTTCACGCCATATTTGTTGCATCCTGCGTACACAGATGGGATTACAACTCAAATCCCACAACTTACTCACAAAAAGCACGGTGGGCAAGAGAGAGGGAACATATATATGGGTGCAAAGAGACATTTCAGGTTCAAATCGTCATGCACCAGTGGTTTATGGAGGGGGGCTGGAGCAATTAGCCCCAGAGGCAGTGCACACACGAGACCGGCACATGTGGCTCGGAGTAGAGCTCTGACATCACGGCATGATGAGAGGGCAATGGGAATACGGTGGTGGGGGTTGAACGAGAGCGTGTGCCAGCCACGCGTGTGCCAGGTTCCAACTTCCGCTTCACACCAAGGAGGAAGAAAAAAAAAAAAGAGCAGGGCGGGTGGGGGGTTTAGCACTGCATTCTCCACAGAGGTCCTTTCGGAAAACATCCTCGCACGGAAGAGGCATCCAACGGCCGCGGTTGTCTCTTGCTCATCTTTCCCTCCTCCCCTCGCTGTCTTCACCCTGCCAAGTGGGCTCGGTGCCAGTCGCATTTGCAACCACGAGGGACCGTTGCCTTTTTTTTCTTGTTTAATGAAATGACAAAACAACAGATTTACATATGCAGAAACAGGTGTTGTAACAGGTTTGACTCCTCTTGACCTAAAACGTGTTGCGTGGGGGAAAACGGGGGGAAAAAACAGGGAGGGGAAAGTTTATTAGCAACAGCTGCCTGGAGGGTGTTTAGGCTCTGATGGGCATTCAAATCTACACCATCTGCCCTGCTGGTTGCCAGAAGTGACAATCTAAATTAAAAACCACTCATCAAAAATCATAAAAATAAACTATTGTATTGCTGTGGCCATATGCTGTAAGTGGCCCTATGAAAGACAAAAAGGGAATCACACGGTGTATATTAATTAACCCTCTGCAGTCTAAAAGACATTCCTGAGCACCAAACACAACAATGGCTTGCTTGCCATCCCGAAACACATACTAATAATAGTCATATTTACACTTCACAAAGGATGCTTGTGTTTCAATATTCAAAGTGCTATTGGTGAATTATATTAAATTGGGCTACATATGATTGTTAGATACAATTAGTCTAGAGTATAATTATAAAATCGGATTATTCACAAACCTCACAAAAACTACTGCGACAGTACCATGGCATAGTGATGGGACCAGAAGGAAATATCATGGTATTTTGATGTATACCATGGTACTAAATAAATAATATATTTGTAATTCACAAACAGGCGATAAATGTCAAATAAATGAGAAAATAATATCAATATTAATAATAAAATCTATTCCATCTGCACTAACCCTAATAAAAAAAAAGCATTGAGCAATGATGTATCATACATTTATATGTACTATGGCACTGCATGATTACCAGGTATATGATGCATATAGGCTTAAAAACTAAGATTAAAAATAAAATAACATCAATATTAATAATAAAATGTGAATATTCTGCAATAACCCTTACAATAAATGTGGTAAAGTGGTGGTATAAGATGTATACGATTTTACTGAATGATTACCGTAATCATGTTCCATACATAGTGTAAATTTGTAAGATCAATAATAAAATATCATCAATATTAATAAAATGTTAATGTTCTGCACTACTGGGTTTACATGCCACTCAAAGTTACCTTGAAGAATATGGTATATGTCCACAAGCCAATATTACGGGTCCAAAAACATTGTTTACCATGGTACCATGTCCAAAAAAAGCATAATTAATGTCCAAAAGTTTACAAATTAAAACACAGCAATCAGGCATTCCTTTAAAACAATAGAGAAACATGAAGGTCAAACTCAAACACGACAGCTCAGTAACTCAACAACAACATGAAGAAAAACATAGAAAACAACAATTCGGGCCAAAGAGTCAATCTAAAAATATTCGCTCTGCCCTTGTCAAAGACAAAGGGAGCATTAATTTGCCCTGTTATTATTTAGAGAGGGCAGGAGGAACAAACCTGAGCCCGTCGTGACCCTGCCACAGTGTTGCAACTTGTTCTAGAGCGATGCCAGCAGAAGGCAGTACCATATGCCCACAGCCTCGGGCCCGATGCTCTTTCTGCAGCCTAATACGCCTGTCAGGAGATGTTACTGTCACAAATCCTCTGTTTTTCCATAACGTGTTTCAAATAAACAGATTTTTTTTCCTCTTACTAACAGAATTGTCCTCAGAGATTACAGTTAGAAGGTCAGAGTTTAATTCTACTGTAAAGACAGCATCTACACTCTGGGTTGTTTCAACCCATGTATGGGTTATATACAAACAAACCTTTTTTTTTTTTTTTTAAGTGACCAAATAATTTGTGGAAAAGCACTTGTTTAATAAATAAAAGTATGCTGCATTTCAACAATGATGCTGAAACTAAGCCTGGCATAAATAGTATCACATAGACTAGCATTAAGTCTACTTCCACACTTCCTCTTGTCACAGGCCACAGGCAACTTTGGTCCGAGCGGGGCCGACCTTGCCGTTTACTACAAATGAAGCCCTCTTGCATCTACAACGACTGGGGTTTTAAGTCAACCAGAGACTAAAGCGCTCAGTAAATCATTGCCTTTAGCCAACAAGACCCTGTCATGCCTTCAAATTGCACAAAAAAGAGATGACAAAACATATCAGCACTGATATTATCAGCTTTGCGTACAATTAATAATTTCAAGGGCATTTGTACTCTACGATAAGATGCTTATGGGTGATTTTAATACCTCTCCATAAAGGTCATGTGATATCGTTGGTGTGAAAGAGCGCCGTCACAGTCAAAAGACTAGAGTTAGGGATTATACGACATGTTTAAGGGAAAGAAAAAATGCAGTTGGAAAGGTCTAGAGCGTCGCAACCTCAGATACAGATGAAACGGTTCCCTTTAGTCAATACATTAAACATTTTAATCCATAAAATAAGCATCAAAAAATCAATCATCATACAAAAAAAAAAGCATTTCTCGTGACCTCAGAGGAAGCCCGTGCTCTCAGCGTCTTAGTTACCGAATCACACCAACCGTCATTAGGATGATGTGGATAATTATGGCGCATAAGACCTCTTAAGCATGTAATACAGTCTTTTATCTGGAGAAGTCAATCTCTGCGAGGCTGACAGCTAGAAGCATATGATCACGGTAAACAAATACTTTCACGCGGCACCAAAGTGCCATTAAAGGCCAGAACTGTCAACACAAATTCCACTCTTGCGAGGGAAAGGAAAGGGAGGGAAAGGGAGGAAGAAAAAAAGAGTTGATCACCTCTGGTTCCCTTAACATGCATGGGGGTTGTCATGGAAACATTTCTGTGAAGTTAACATGGATACAAACAGAAGGCTTTCCGGCTTAATTGCCATTAGAGTTTTATGACCCTGTTTAGGGATGTATATTAAAACACACGTGGGGTAATACGTCGCTTATCGCGGAAACGTAAAGGAAAACTAGCCTTTGACTTTCTATGGTTGTTTTATTTAAACCCCCCTTAAAAATCAGTAGAAAGAGGGGGTTTAGATGGGCATTTTCTGTCAGTGGTGACTGCAGGATGCAATATGAAATAACTAGTGATTTCAAACAACTAAATGGTTCCACCCACATTGCAGTACGTATAAAGGCGTAACCTACAAGAAGTCAAATCACAATGCCATCTTAACCCAGCCAAAATCATTTTATTTTACTCAATGCACATGCATTCATTTTAAAAGGATGTCTTTCCTTTTAACGCAAAGCAGTGCATGCACACACCCCAGCCGTAATCAGCCTGTGCCTACAAAAACATCAGGATAATTGCAATATCGGCCCCTCTTTCCTGTCTCAGGTCAGCCGTCCCCCCCTCCCGTCACATGTCGTACGTGAAACATCACGCTCCAAACACTGCTCACTGAAACAGTGCTAATTAAAATCACCTGGGAAGAACTGCGTGGGGCTAACAAAGGGCCGGGCTTCACATTACAGGAGCTGCCGAGGTGTGTGTGTGTATGTAGGTTTGCTTGAAATTTTACTACTGCTATTACAGCCTTTTTGAAGCGACACAGCGATGAGTGACGAAACACCATGATGCACACCTGCACCTCACCTGCACAGCTGCCGGAGCCAAACTGAGGTGCTTCTGCAACCGAAAACTCTCAGAGTTAATCACAGCCATGATACGAGCTGTAATACTACACACCTTGTTAAAAAAAAAAAAAAAATCCCAGATCCCTTGAACCCACTGAAACTGCACTGCCAGTAGATGTGACTGTGTCTTAAGAGAGGAGTGCTGTCCATTAACACTCCAATACATCAGGCTTACTGTCCTGACACTCACTGCTCCTGTGAAGAATTCACTCCGGATCATGGAAATGGAGCAAGCAGCCACGGTAAGATTAATGTTAATGATTATAATAATAATAATAATATAAATTATCTTCAATACATAACATATAATATATTAGTAAATGTCACTTTTAGACAATCTAAAATTTTATATCTCATGCAAAATCACAAAGCTTAAACACAGACAACTAAATAATCGTTCAGACAACCTAATCAGTGTATTAATTTTTTTTTACCTGATTTCATTTTTTAAAAAATATAAACCTATTAAAACAGTCTTAATCACTTGAACATAATTGTACAAACAGTAAATGTAGTGATTCGAGTGCAATAATAGATCATGTACATTTCTGCATATTTACATTGTATGCCTGGCTTAATGCATTAACTAAAATCCTTTATTTTTAAACGGACAGTTATGCTGTTGTTGTTATTGTTATTATTTTCAAAAATAAATTAATCCTAGGCTACGTTTACATTTCACTCAGGTTGTTTTAAAACTAAAACGCACAAATACAAACAGCAATAAACACAACGAAAGTTGATGAGCATTAAAAGGCGATGCAATAATCTAAAATGCCACAAAACTGTCACTGGATGTTTATCGATTATGAGGATATAATCACGGTACTGACTTCTAACAACACAAACACTTTATAAACCATCCAACAAGCACTAAACAACCCATCTGCAACTTCTAAGTGAAGTCAAACTGAGAAGGTCAGTGTATGGAAGGCATAAACGTGAAAACTCACCAAAATAAGTGAATGTATCTCCCTCGCGGATGCAAAGTTTCGCGTGTTTACAAGTCAGTGGTTTAAAAAAGCGCTACAAACAAACGCACAGCACGCGCTGTTGATATTCCTCCGCTCGGAGCCGCGAGACGCTGCTTGTCTTCAGTCAGTGTGCTGCTGTTATTACCGACGCAACAGTATAAAAAAACGCACGAGTAACACCGACTCCTGTTTGAATGCGCTCGCATGACGCGCAACGCGAAGCGGCAGCTTGTTTTTTTGTATCTCGATTCAATGCATCGCAATGTTTCGGCCGAGTTTTTTTGAGGGGGGACTAGCTTATTAGAATGCGAGGGGGCACTTATGCGGACGTGCATGTTGTTATTTTTTGGCGTACTGCGACCCCACGTGACACATGTCCACCTGCCGCGTAAACAATACAGTCATTAGAAGTTTGTTTTGTTTTTCGAGTCACTAATCACTAAGCAGAAGAAACCAAGATCAGTTGGTTAATTTGCTAAAGAGATTAATATAGTCTGAGGAGTAGGAATGTGAAGTCCTGTCATTTATTCTAGATTTTATTTACTAATTTTATTTTTACTTTGTTTAGGCTATATTATTATTATTCGTATTGTCACACTTTAGATTAGGGTCCAATTTTTACTTTTAACTAAATTTTAACTACCACTTTTGCATATAAACTCCTAATTACTGCTTATTAATAATTAGTATGGTAGTTGTTACGTTTAGGTATTGGGTTTAAGGGATGTAGAACATGGTCATGCAGAATAAGTGCTAATAAACAGCCAATATCCTAGTAATATGCATGATAATAAGCAACTAGTTCATAGTGAGAATTGGACTCTAAACTAATGTTACCATTATTATTATTATTATCCAAAAGTGTAATCCATATTCATTTATGTTTGTGATTAAATAAAGTTAATACATATTGTATTATTATGTATTGCACATAAATAACAATAAGCAAACAAACAAACAAAGTCTTCAAAAGTGTAATTTATGGAGGTAAAGTCTATACAATTCTGAGCAATGAGCAGTGTGTTCAGAACAAAAGAACAGAGAATTATAGTTTTTTGTTGTAAAATGTTTTGTGTGCTTATTGTATTAAACAATTTTTATATCATTGCACATGAAATTTATCAACACATGCTAAACAGTTCACACACCCCTGAACCTTGAGATGATCAACAGTAGATCGACAGCATCTGTTCATTTTGATGAGATATTGTTTATATGAGTGATGAACTGCTGGTTTTCAAATCATTTTTGCTTTTGCCCATTTATGTGCTCGAATTACTAAAGCTTCTGAGAATGATGCACATACTGTACGTTCTGCATCACATGTGTACTGTAACTGTGTGCCACTGCCTTGACATTTTCATATGAATAAAACTGGATAAAAAATAAAAGATTTTCAGATTAAAGATTGATAATATCAGAAATCTCTCTTTGTGAATGAATTATCTGTCTCTGTCTGAATTTAATATCTTCATTCTATATTTTGGTTGAAAACACTGGGTGTTTAAAAAAAGGGATCTTAGTACATATTAGATGGCTGGTGATATTTGCATAACATCAAAATAATTTTGATCAAATGCATATTTAAATAAGGAGGCGATGCCGCAGATTTTGACCTGGTTTTATGAGAACATTTTAACACTCCAAAATCCGATAACAATTATCTGTCAGATGTCTGCAAAGGTGTTAAGGATTTTTTTGTTTTGTTCATTGATCAGAGAATTTTGGATGCCTTCTTTTCGCCACGTGCATGCCATTTAAAGAAAAACGTTTAATCAAGAAAATGCTAATATTTCATGGCTTTTATCACAAAGAAATCAAAAACACAAATGTATTTTCTATATCAAATTTAGGAGGGGGAAATCATTTTGAAAAAACTCTGGGATCCTAGCACAAAACATAAGAGTTTGCTGCCACCTACTGGAATGCTTTGGAATCCACATTTGATTGTCAATGAAACGCGAGTGTGCACAGAACTTTGATTAGACACTGCCACCTAGTGGTCAATTGAGTTCATGCACTAAAACACTGAATACCAATGGCCTGCAGCACATTTTTGGAATTCACAACACACAAGGATTTAATCATTGATTAAATACCGGTAATTATACAATTAAAGGAAAAATCCCATAACTAAAATCCACCCAAAAAATTAGCATGATTTTATAAAAAAAATAATGAAGCAAGCAAGCGTAGACACACACACGCATACAAGTGAAATCAATATAAATATCATTCATGAATTGAATCATGAGAACTTGCCCCAACCTGACATATTATCATTATAATATCTGAATATAATTAAATAACAGTGCGGTTTTATTGATTTCACTTGTTTATCCAACATATATATAAATAAAATATCACCATTGCACCAAATATCAGTTTGTTTGGATGACAGAATTCACAAAAATCCAATAAACCAATTTGAAACCAATATAAAAAACCCACAAGCATTTGAAACTCTAGTTATATCGCTCCCGATGTGACAACTAGCCCCAGTCTCAAACGGAAGCATTGTGTTGTTTCGGTACAGATTCACACGTATGATTCATGAGCATTTACCGAAGCTATCTCCAGATTCAGGAGAGTTCAACAGATGACATGGACACATCAAAGTGTCCCACGTCAACCAGACTCTAGTGACCAGGAAGACAAGCATAGTTCACAGCTATTTTTAAGCCTGGCAACCACACAATGTTCAGCTGCAACCTGATGCTCTGTGCCAAGTCACGTTGCGAGCGAGTCTTTCAGGCGGTTAGTGCTGTTACCCCGTCAGCATTACCCAGGCATGTCTGTGGAAGAGCTTGCACCCTCCATGGTCTCCAAAAACATGGAGCCTGACATCTGCAGGGACTGGATGATGAAAAACGAAGAGGAAATCATCAAATTAGAGCGGATTTCAGATGGAAGCTCTGCAGAGGAATCGGAGGAGGAACCCGAGCCCCCACCGGTAGCCGTACGACGAAAGGTGTCGTTTGCGGATGCCTTTGGTCTAGACCTGGTTTCCGTGAAGGAGTACGATAACCGGGATGTATCAAGGCCGGAGGCGGACGGTAGAGAGGGTGAGGAATACTACATCTCATGCCTCTTCACCCTCCCTGTCTTAAACCAGGACATGGAGGTGAGACTTCAGCAGCAGAAGCTGGAGCTGGAGCGCATCGAGCTTCTCCCTGGATCCACCACGATCCGGGGCATCGTCCGCGTTCTTAACCTCTGCTTCCACAAGGCCGTCTACATCCGCGTCTCGCTGGACGGCTGGCAGAGCCACTCCGAGCTGCTGGCCGAGTACGTGCCCGGGTCTAGCGACGGAGAGACGGACTGCTTCTCTTTCCTTCTCGCGCTGACGCCTCCATTCCAGGTCGAAGGGGTTCGGATGGAGTTCTGTCTGCGCTACGAGAGCGATGTCGGAACCTTCTGGGACAACAATGGAGGGACGAACTACATCGTCTTCTGCCACCAAAGACGAAGGAGTGATCAGAGAGAAAAAGAGAAAGAAAGTGAAAGGGAGAAGTTAGTAGAGGAGAGTAACCAGAAAAGCATCAGGAGCTGCCTTAAAGCAATCAGGTAGGGAACACTGTCACTACACTCTAAAAAATGCTGGGTTGTTTCAACCCAAATTTGGGTCAAATATATGGACAAACCCAACCGCTGGGTAAAACATTTAAATAAAAAACTTAACCCAACAGTTGGGTTTGTCCATATTTGACCCAAATTTGAGTTGCAACAACCCAGCATTTTTAGAGTGTAGAATCATCACTTTTACTCATTCTTACAGTCAGGATTTGAACACAGTGCTTATTGGAAGTATTAACCTTTGGTGTGAGACTCACCCCGGACATGAATGACACCTAAAATCATGCAGATTACTGAAGAGTTCAAGAGACTATCATATTCATGTAGATGGTGAAACTATCCAAGAAAAAAAACAGAGACGTCTTACTCTAGGTTTTCCAATCAAGCGCAAAACTTTGTTTTGACTGGAGATGGTATGTTTAAACACATGGCTGGTGTGTGTAATTGAAAACCTGCCGTATATTTACAGCAAAAAGATCTGCACGGAGGCGACACCCGCAGAGGCGAGCGGGGAGATCTCAGGTGGGTTTCTTATGTGGAAATCTGGAAATAGGGTCCTTTGATTCTTCATGAGACTCAGTTTGAGTTTGTTTTCTTTTCCAGAGCAAGTCACACCCAAAACAGAGGAAGAAGCAGGAATCACTCCCTACAAATCCATTAAGGACTGCTGCAAAACTCTGGTATGGTCAATGAGTGTAATGTCAAGGTTCAGAGACAAAGAAGTGCATTTAGTGAAGTGAAGTGAAGTGAAGGCTAAGTATGGTAACCCATGCAAAACACACACACACACACACACTGCAAACCGTGGACACACACACCCAGAGAAGTGGGCAGCTATTCGCTGTGGCGCCCGGGGAGTGATTGGGGGTTTGGTGCCTTGCTCAGGGGCAACTCAGTCGTGGGTATTGAGGGTACATTCACTCCCCCCATAAACCTTTTCTGCCGATATTGAGAATCGAACCCGTGACCTTCGGGTTACAAGTCTGACTCTCTAACCATTAGGCCCGAAAAGGGGCAGTTAGAAAAATGATTTACTCAACTTTGTCATTTTACCTGTATGTTTTTTTCCACAAACAAAAGGAAATCATTATCATTAAATAAAAAAAAGAAGAGTATCCTGGTTTTGTTCTGGCAAAAAACAATGGAAAGATATAAAGGAGTTGGAACAATGTTTTTGGGTGAACTATCCTTTTAACTCTTTCCCCACCATTGACAGAAATTTCCGGCTTTCTGTGTTTTCACTGTTATATGGTAGGGGGCGCTATAAGGCATCTTCTGAAAGAGTCCTGAATCTTCTGATCAAAACAGGCAAAGAAGAAGCAGAAAGAAGCAATATCATATGTAATGCAAAATAACGCCTTAGATATCCATAATAAAGGCTAGATGTCTAACGGCAGAGTCTCTATCGTCATCACGGGCAAGGCTCAAACAAACCATTATGATCATAGATATCCATAATAAAGGCTAGATGTCTAACGGCGGAGTCTCTATCGTCATCACCGGCGGCCATCTTGTCACAGGCAAGCTTTCAGGCGGGCTCTGTGGTCACTTACCTGATGTAAGATGAGTGATCAGCACGAACACAAATACTCTTATCTCATTGAAATCTTGACGGATTTACAAACGGTTTGGTTTCTTACAAACTTTATTGACGTGGCTATAATTCTGGATGATTATTTATTTATACACTTATTATTCATAAGTATGCAGTGTCATAACTACATCTCTGACGTTTATAACAAACCAAACCGTTTGAAAATCGGTAGAAAATTGAGCAAGTTATGGTTATTTCAAAAGTACATGCACCATTAAAACACAATGTTACGAGTGAGCGAGCTGCCTGTGACAAGATGGCCGCCAGGTGCAGACATCGACCTCCATTGGCCAGCAGCGCGGACGAGACATCTAGCCTTTATTATGGATATCTATGAATAACGCGATCATAAACATTAAACAGTAATAGATCAAAACTGCCTAATGTTACTGAATGAACTGTCGACCCACATTCAAGCGTTGATAAAAGAAGAATGCATTAAGCTAGAATAAAACAGGTTTTTTTGTTTAAAAGCAGAGGCTTTGTTCTTTCTTTTGAAATATTGCATGTTCAGATATTCAAAATATTCTGGCGGCCATGAAACTTTTGAAAACACTGGCGTTGGCTGTTAACTTTGGTGGGGGAAAGAGTTAAAAAGTACAACAATGTGTGAACTACAAATTATTAGTCAGGATAAATTTAAATAAATTAACGCCATTTTGCAAAAAATGAAATACCTCTCATTACAAACAAGACATGATAAAGTCAGCAGAAAACCAAAACATTTTCCTCCACGTTGTGTCTTTTTTGACAGGTGGATCGTCGTAGGAAACGTCAAGCTGCTCGTTTGGCACACGTGCAAGACTACTTCGCTCAGAAAGCAATGGAAACCCAGAATAGATGTAATTCCAACACAAATGAAAGTACCATGTCCATCCCAAGGCTTGGTATGCCAAGTAGAACTGACCTGCCGGTTGTCCACAGCCGGCAAGGACACGGTATGGACACGCCACCTATACTAATGTACCACCAGATCCCTTTACTTTCTCTGGATTGGGGCAGTACAACGACATCAACAACAACGACAACAACAACAACAACAACCACCCCTCCCCATGCAAACCCTCCTGATGCCTACAGTGAAACAGGCTGGCAAGTTGAAGATCACGTAGCAAAATCGACTTCTGACATCTGGAAAGCTTTTCTTAACAGCACTGACACAACACACACTCACAGTGATATACAGGAACAAACGTGTCCTCCTACAGAGACACTTTGCCAATCAGAAGTTTTAGACTCAAGGGACAAAGTCGTAACTTCATTGGAGGACAAGGGAGCTGAGAAAGACAACAATCATGGGTCTGGTGACATGACAGCAATGGAAATTGTAAGATGTGATCCCACAGAGCAATCAAAAGGTCCTTCTAGAGATCAGGTTTGGGGTTACCAGCTAGTGAAAGAGCCAAGGCTCACTAGAGTACCATGTTCTGCTCTGGGATCGGAGCCAGAGAGGGTGGGAAGAGAGTTTGAGGCATCTCGTGACCGCCAGGCCTCACATCATGAGCACACAAGGGGATCTTTGAGTCAAGACACGACCAAGGCAAGCTCGGGGGACGAAACTCGAACCGCACATGACACCGAGACTCAGAATTCAGAAGCCGGAGATGGAATCTCACCTGAAGAATGCACAGGCAGCTTCGACACCTCAAAGGTTAAAGAAAACACACACAGAGCGGTCAAAGACACCCTGACATTTACGGGTATCAGGGACGTGTCGCTCACAAATAGACAGGCCGAGGGATCTTCTTCAGAAAGGAAAGATATAAATAAAGATGATAGCGAGGAGCAGGTGGAAATGAGAGAGTTTTATAGAGAAGTACATGAAGAGGAGACGGAAAGCAGTGGAAAAGGACGAGATGAAACAACTAGGGATCACAGCGCAGAAACACGGAGCGTTTCATCGTGCGCGAGCGAGGCGTTTAATGAGAGCGAATTATGCATGTCGAACAAGAATCTTAACAAAGACCATTCAGAGCTACTGAAAATCGAAGAGAGAAGGTTTGAGGGAAACGAAGGACTTAAAATGAAGGAGCAACTGAATGAGACGACTGCTCAAGAAGGCGAAAGCGCTGAAAAACGTTCGGAAACCAAACGAGAGCTTGTAGAGGACTCCAGAGCGGTGGGGGACAGTTGCACAGATGGAGAAGAGAAAGAGTTTGAGTTACTCCAGGCGACCCATCCAGCAGTTACTGACCCATCCAAGCACCTCCTTCAGACAACATCTGCAAAGAAAAGTGAGGTCACTTCTCCAGAAGAGGACTTTGAGCTTGGGAAGACTCTCGGAAACTTTCAAGAACCCCAGCGACCGAACCGAGAGGGTGAACACCGCACGCCATTACCCAGCATGCACTTGTGCAGCAACAGGATGTTGTCATGGTGGAGGGAGTTCTGCTCCATGGGTCACATGACCAAGGCTCTCGTGTACGCTATTCTGTTCGTGATCTTCATAACGGCGTATCTGTACGACCTGCCGACCTGGCTTGGACTATCGGTTTTCTCTGTGCTGGTTGTGCAGCCAGGGCACGAAACAGCGTCTGGATGTGGCTGTTGATGTGGACTGAGATCAGGCAGGAAGTTCTTGTCAAATGATGTGCGTTTCTTAAACGAGAAGTGACATGAAGTGATGCTACGAGCCAAGCTTTGTTTTTCATTGAAAATATCCTTAAAAAGTCCTTAAAGGAAGATATATTTAAGCTGCTTGACAAGAAACAGCACACGGAGATATGAAGACTTGTTTTGATTTTCATATGTTGTATCTTGTGTAAGTGTAAAAAAGATCTTCCAAAGACAACAACAACAAAGAAAAACACTCATATAATGTCTCTTAATGCCTCATGTATTGTTGCTTCTCAGATTGATCTTGTTTCAAGGATTTTAGATATTTTAGAATTAAAATTACATAACATAATAACAATTACATTACATTAATTTAAATTGATGAACCTACCAAAGTGAAAAAAAAAAACGTATTCCAAAATGTATTTAAAATACGTTTATTTCATACTAAGTACAAATCCATTAACATTTACTGACCTATCGCTTGAGACTTACTGATATAAATATTACAATTAAACTTTATTTGGAGTACTTCTTTATTGCACAATGCACATTTTTATATATTAGGCCTAGAATGTGTTTTGATATCACTATTAGTAAGGATAGTATGATCTCTGTATAATATCAGTCTTTAAATGCAAGATATTTAAAGTGTACCTGAAGTATACTAGCAATAGTTCCACTTTAGCATAATCAAATTTACTAAAGTATATCTTTAGTTGGACCTCAGCACTATTTCTGGATAACTAAAGTGCATTAAGTACAAAATTAGTTCCAATTTAGCAGACTTTTTTGTTTAAGTACAATTTAGTATACCGAAAGTACAATTGCAGGGTATTTATAATATGTACGTACATAAGTATGTAAATGTATTTGTAGTATACTTAGCATAAAATAAACATATTTCAAATACATTTTGGTACATTTATTGTTCACTAGGGTAAGCAGAGTTTATAGCTGTATACAAAATGTTAACAATTTTAAGTGTCTGGATCAAAAAGGTTTGAAGATCATGAGGAACATATATTTAGTTTGGTGTGTCCAAAATTTTGACTGGTACTGTACCTTTATGAAATGTTTCACTGGGGTTATACAAAGGCGTATCAAATGCGCTATGTAGCCCGTGAGGACACAGAGGGCATTTCATGTCTCTTTAGGGATGTGTGTGACAGACGTGACATTTCCTACAAATCCCACAATGTCTCTGTTCCCATAAGACAGGAGAGAGTATGAGGCAGAGGCTGGAAAAGGGACAGGGTTTCTAGACCCTCTGATATGTGAACATAGCTCTAGGTAATTCATACATACCAGTTAAACACATACTTTATGGACAAGTGAAAATTCCCATCATTTACACACCCTTATGTCAGAACACAAAATTAGTTTCCCATGCAATTACAGTGAATGGATACTCAATCTTTAAAACACCGGTATCATAAAAGTAGTCCATATGTCAAAAAGGCACAATCTATAATAAGAGTAGTTTACATACACGCATGGTGTGTTGGGTCAAAAGTATGACATGATTTTTAAGCCTTGTTGAACTGGATTATGGGTGTTTAGTCAGTAAGATGCATGACTGTGAGCTGAAATGCGACACAAAGTAGTGCAATTTCCCAATGTGTGTGTGTGTGTGTGTGTCTGCGGTCATATGATCCAGTCATTATGACTCTGACCTTTCAGCGTCTGGCTGCTCACCTCACATTCACTGGAGCCGTTCATCTGTAAAGAAAAAGCACACATTCATAGTTTTACTGTTATTAATACCTGTATTCACAACAATATTTACACCATGTAACCATTCTAAGAAACATTAAAATCCCCAAAAGTAGGAAGCTAAGTATTATCTTTTTATTTATTCACACATTAAGTGACAAAGGTTGAAAATATTACACTGGAATATTCATTTTATGAAAGCTTACACTGCTAAAAGACTATCCACATTGGACCATGCTGGTTAGAACTGGTCTTGTGACTGGAAGACCAGAAAAATGATATTGTATTACATCTAAGGAAGTTTAAAGGTCATCTAAACCTCTCAGATGTGTATTTAAACTTGTCTGCTAATAATGTCATAAAAGGCACTTTTACATGCTGGTCTTTTATGCAATTTCACGTAGGCCTATTTGAATAGCATACAGTGTGTGCAGATGATCCAGGCATTCACACATGGTATTTTGTGTTGGTCTGCAGGAGAAATGCTGAAATTAAAATGAAAGCAAATGAAAAATACTGAGGTCAAATTCAAATAAAAACACTGCCATAAAAACAACTCAATGAATAAATAATAGGCACCGAAAGCAAATATTCCAGGGCACTTACAGTTACTCATAACAAAACCAAGTACCAATTTGCACCATCTGGCATTTGTGGTTTTATTATGCATGTATGTGCTGAGCAACTTCATGACAAACAGACATAGGTTTGTTGATTATTACAGCACGTCTTTCCTGTGCATTTACATTGCGTTCAGCAGTTTGTAATTGAAGTGACTCAGGAGGAACATGATATTCCCAAACCCGTTCCCAGATGAAAGACACAAGGGCCAAGAGCTAAAATGTCACAACGGTCACATGAGGGATTTTTTCGAAGGCGTGAACACTTCAGATGTTTCATGCATGCTTGCTTTGCGTTTAATTATGTGCTGCATGTTGGCACCCTTTCTTTTTTTCTTAAAGGAACACTCCGACTTTTTGGGACTTTAGCCTATTCACCTTATCCCCCAGAGTTAGATAAGTCCATACATACCTTTTTCATCTCCGTGCGTGCTATAAATCTCTTTGACGCACCCACCGCTAGCCTAGCTTAGCACAAATACTGGATGTAAATGGTTGCAGCTAGCATACTAATCCAAATAAGTGACAAAATAACACAAACATTTTCCTATTTACATGTTGTGATTTGTATAGTCACAGAGTGTACAAAAAACAAAGTCACATGAGACACAGACATATTTTAACCGTATAAACACTGGGAACTATATTCTCTGAAGGCGAAGCACTGCTACTTGGGCGGAGTGATAACCGCAGCACCTGAGACGATCACACGCGATCACAACATTTAAACTATGCATTTAAATAGGAAAATGTTTGTGTTATTTTGTCACTTATTTGGATTAGTATGCTAGCTGCAACCATCTACATCCGGTCTTTGTGCTAAGCTAGGCTAGCGGTGGGTGCGTCAAACAGACTTATAGCACGCACGGAGATGAAAAAGGTATGTATGGACTTATCTAAGTGTTCCTTTAAAGCTGATCAGTCTAAACATTTCTGGGTTTCAAAAAACACAGTACACTGCCAGATTTTGCATCTGCCCATATCAAAATTAGTTAAATGTAATTGTAAAATAATCAATTAATTGTAAAAAATTTGTTTTTTATTAATACTTCATTTTTATTTATATATTAATTTTATTTATATTCTATAATTTTTATTCATTTATATTTCAGTTTTTTAAAAACTTGTTATTTATATTTTATTTGAATATTCATTTATAAATCAGTTTTAGTTTTTGTATTGTATTTTTGTTTTGTTTTGGAATGGAATAGAATGGAGCCACTAGATGGAGCCACAACAGCAATTTTACTCCTTACAGCTCAAACAGGAATAAAGCAGTCTGGAGGGAGTGTACTGACAGATTGTGGTGGGTCAAACACTCAAACAGCAATAGAAGCCAACGAAATATGTTGCTGCCATGTAGAAAATTGTAATACACACAAATATTGATTGAATATGTTTGTTTTGGGGACTGAAGGGCTAGCATTAGCTCCCAGCTAAAACAGAGCAGGCTACCAGACACACGATGGCAGCATGTACAGTACCATCGAGATCTGCCTCGCTTTCTCATACACCCACACATATAAAACACATAAAACACACAACACAGTCATCCGTCTTCTCGCATGTCCGAGCACAGAATCTGGGTTACATCCTGGGTATCCCAGGAGGCCAAGTGCTCATACATCATTATTGAAACATCCAAGCACACAAGGACAGATCACACATACATCCAACGCTCTCTAATCTTTCTCTCTCCCCCTCTGGGTTTCGTGTGGGCTTGCCAAGTTACCTCATCCCGCCCTGTACACATTTATATAGTGCTGTGTATGTTACCAACAGAATGTATAGCGGTGTTCTGCAAACTCTACAGAAATTGCGTAAACTGCAGAAGCAATCAAGTTAAATGACTGTTGTCCTTTCAAGCTAAATTCACATGCAGCCTAATAATCCATTTAATAATTTGAAAAATTGTGCTATCAGACTGAAAAGCCTTCATGTGGTTTGAGCAGATCATAACTGCCCAAAAAACCCTCTAACATCACCCAATCAGTATAAGATCAGCAAATCATCTTAGGCTAGTTTAAGAGGGTTATGGATCCAACTAAATTGATTTAATCAAGCTTAATCTGATTGAAATATAAGGTGTTGCAGATCTTAAAATAATCTGAAAAAAAAAACACATCTTAAACCATGCAGCCTAAATTTCTTTGCAAGTCTTAGCTGGTCTCCAAGGTTTTAGAGAGGAGACCAGATGAATGACCATCATAAACCAGATAAAACCAGCAGCCCATCTTAGGCTGGTTTTAAGATCTTTTTTTTTTTTACATCTTAACATCTCTAGATTATGAAATGCAGTTGGATTAAATTGATAGAGATGTTGCAGATCTTAACAGAGCCTGAGGAAATCCAGCCTAAACCGATTGCTGGTCTTGGCGGTTCTTCTAGCCTGGTCATACCCATCTGTAGGCAGGTTTTAGAGATGTTTGCAGCACTTTTCAGATGGTCAGACTGGGAAAACCAGATTGACGACCAGTTAAGACCAACATAAAACAGCAAAGACCAGAAGATCATCTTAGGCTGGTTTGGCATGGCATTTTCAGCCAGCTAAACCTTAAAATCTCTGCTAACACTTTTACCATAATGTCGACCCTAAAGGCGCTTTTCCACGGCACGGCTCGGTTCGCTTTTCCACTGACATCATCGTAAATGGGACACA